TTCACAATAAGGCAATTTGCTTTTTAAAGGTCACAATTCAGGAGCATGGGAATGAATTCAGGAATTTCTTAGTTTTGAAGGCTGGGTCCAAGCCGTTAAGCAATATGATATGACTGACTTTAAATAAATGGCTACATACAAAATTCAAGTCTACCATGTGAGTATGCTAAAAATGACACAGGGATGCATGTCTAAGAAATAAGATTTTCCCAGGCAGCAGCAAAAAGTACATTTTGATGTTAAATATTAATTTTATGTACTTTAAATAACGGATGCAGGTATCTCCTGAAGAACAAGATCAGACATTTACACCAAGAAAGCACATTTGCACAATGAAAAAGAGATTATTTACATATTAGTGTTCTCTAACACAATACGTATTTAAAGCCACCTCTCTGATACTGTGGAGGGAAACATGCAGAGAGGTAAGATCATGAAGCTGTCTCAATAATAGCAAATGTGCCCCGGGAGTGAGTCTACAGCTATAGTTTTTAACAAGATCATCTCTTAATGGTGTTTTCCTAGTCCAGAGGATGAACAGAGCATCTCACAGAGTACCTGTATTCAGCACACATTTATCCAAGTCTACCTACATTCATGTTGGTATAATGGTGTCAATGGCTGTGCCAGTACCATCCTCTACTACAGATTTATAGTGACCTTGCAGAGGTCTAGATTTAGGAACAATTCAAACCGACTGAAATCACAGGCAGCCAAGGGTCACAACTTCAGTAGGATACAAAGTAATATTGATTTACAGGAAATTAGAATATTACTATATTTTAAACTAATCTTGAAATTCAAAACTGTATAACTAAAACATGTTTCTTGGTAGTAGAAAAGCCTCTCCAAAAACTTTTCTTCTGCCTGGGGTCTTAAATTCACTGCTTCATTCTTCAGGTGCTGGGCCCCTCAGCTGCCATTCCAGAGCTGTGGACTCACCCTCTGCAATTCTGCTTCAAGGGGTACTGGGAGAAGCAGCTGATGCAAGGTCAATCTGCCATTTCTGAGTCTGTGGAAATCCAGCCACACAGACACAAACAGGGCTGCTCAAGATCTTTCACTAAATTAAATGTCTCAGCATCAACATAATTCTCTCCACTGCTCACTTAACACATATTCAGACCTCTTCCATTTTAAAATCTGAAATAGACCTCTGAGTGGGAGTATTTCACACATTCAGAATGAAAGTCATATACTGGATTTATTAGTCTGAAAGTCCATTTCATCTGAACAGTTCAACCAGGACAGCCCTGCTCTTTCCTGGGAGGTTATTTTTGCTTCTGGCTGTGCTTAAATACTGGAGTGGGGTGGGCAGTGAAGGGTTGGGAAGCAGAAACACACTTTTAACCCTCTTTTCTTCTTCAGAGAGCACTTCTCAGCTCCTCAAGCATCAACTGAACTACACCCATCTCACTAAGGAGGCTGCTGCCTTTGGCACATGCTGCAGGCTAGTGGCATCACTGCTGGAGGGAAGGCAGCAGCACTCGATCACCTTGGCACATAAGTTCTCCTTTAAAAAAAAAACCTATAACCCATCCCTCCCCCCACGATAAAAACTAGGATGCCTAAGACTGCACTATAAATGATATATATAATATTTATATATCATTATATAGACAAATAAATTGTTAATAATAATAATGATGGGTGGTTGTTTGTTTGTTAGGGTTTTTAGGGGGTGTCTTAGATGCCAGGGGGCTTCTTTCTGTTTTTTAAATCAAAGACCCTGCACGCACCTTCCCCTGGGTTTAGCTGGCCTCATCAAGGTTACTAAGTAACCTTGAGTTGTATTCAGCTTTTCTGCCATTCTTTTGAGAAGGAAATTGAATCCCTCCCATGTTTGAGAAGCCCAGCTTTCAGTTTAAATAGGATTTTTTCATGTATTAGCATATCAAACAGTATAGTTGACAGCATGCAACATAAGATTAGCACATTTTATTTTTTCTAAGTCTTAGCTTCCTTCTGTCCTGCTATTTTGCATTTTCAGTGAGAGCAAACCAAAGGCAAGCTTGGTAGCCATCTGCAGGAGCAAGACACCAGGTATATTTACACAACAGCTTGATTTGCTTTCAGGACTCGAAGTGTGGCTTTCATCTGCTGGGTCCTCCATGAACATTTCTGGCCCTCGGGAAGTCTACAAGGCAACAACATTTCAGCCCTGAGCCCTGAAAATATTTACCAGTACTGAAGAGCTGGATCCCAGAGTGCCACAGAGGAAGTTAGAAATGCTAAAGAAGCCAGGATCCTCTCCTGATCATAAATGGTTCAGGGGACATGCCAGGTCACGTAGTATATTAAAAGGGACATGGAAATAGCAACTCTGCCCCATCTCTGGATTGGCAGCAAGCAAAAATGGTTGTAGATGGTATGAGTTTTAGAATCTACATTCTGCAGCAATATCTCGGGCTTTTAAGTCTTATTTTAGCATTTTGTTGCATATTTGAAGAAAAGTTCGCAAAGTTAGTGCCGGTGTGGAAAGTGAAATTGTTGCATTGATTGTCTCAACATGTTTAAACACATTGAATGTAAAATTTGGTCACAGGTTTATTGTGGGTATGGATCTCAATGCAGACAGCCACTAACATTGCACAAACATAAATAATTTGAGACAAACTTCATAATTAAGGAATAATATATATTAGTAGGATATAAGACTCCAAAACTCATAAAAAACATAGTAGGTCTTTACCTGCTTTTTTAGCTGTTACCACCTATACAGGTAACCCTTATATCACTCCTCTGACTACCAGAACAAAAGTCTTGTGGTATATTTGTCATGAGAAAAGACAGACCGAGGCAAATTACATTCATTTCTCAACCTCAACTATATTGCTACGACTACTAGAAGCATTACTTCCTAAAAACCTCTCAAGTATGACATACATCATTACCTTCCAGGTATCCATAACTGCAGTCAGTGAAATGCTACATTACAGTGATGCCAAAGCTCCTTAATCAAGTTCTACTTTTCCTGCATTAGGTGATTCACTGGTTCATGAAAAAGCAGCTCCATTATGGAGCAAGGTCAGCTCCACAGTGCCCATGACAGCTCATTAAACTGTGTGACACTGCTACCCATGCACAGGAAAACACCTCAGCTCTGAGAATTAAGGAGGAAGGATTCCTGAAGAAAAACAAAAAGAAAAAAAATCACAACAGAAATGTAGCAGGATCTTTACCTCATCTGACATCAAGAGACTTCTAGCAAAATTAAATGTGTGATTTGGCATTCCTTAAGTTGCCAGATAGACATCACCTTTACACTGGAAGGCAATTAGTGTCATTCATAATCAGTGTATCCAGAGTACTCTCAGATGGATATATCCCAAAACCACATCCCAAGTATGCACTCAGTTACACAGTTATACTGAGATCTGTATGAAATTTTGAGAAGTAAAAGGAAAGCAATGTACAGCCAGGGAAACTTCAAAATCTTTCAGAAGTTTCTGTCAGTTAGGTCTTTGAAACGAGTCTATTTCAAGATGTCAGACCTTTCAGTAGCTGGATCTCAAAATAATCTGCTTCGGGTGTTCCAGAATAAGAATTTCTAGGTCTTTCAATCTGTCCAAATTCATATTTGATTATATGTTCTCATTTGTCAGTGCATTTATTCACTTTTAATGCTCTTTATACTCTCCAGACAGGCAAAGTGGCATTTGAAATTTACCTGGTAGAATTTCACCTATGTAGTCCCCTACCTGCTTTGAATGGAAAAAAAAACAACACAGGAGAGGAATCCAAATAATGTAGTTTGATGTTTTTGGCTCAAATAAAGCTGTTCACTATTAAAGCCACATTTCTGTCAACCCAGCTCCAGTTCAGTAGAACAAGAAAGAACCAGATCTTTCCATCTCTTCAAGATCTTATCTAAACAAAGGAAAGTAGTGCTAAAAGGTTGCTGTTCTCCCATTTACAGTGTTCCATACAGGGCTTGGACAGTTGTAACAATGGTTATGATAACTCTGGGATGGAAAAATGACTCTATGAAAATAGCAAGAATGACTGTAGTTATTTTCCCACCTAAACTTAGTTGAAAAAAAATCAGCCTTTCTAAAGAGATTCTCAAGCAGAAACAAAAACCCTCTACATACAAATCCAAGCCAGAAAACTGGTGTAGCACTTGTAAATACACAAGTTTTTCCAAGACAAACATTAAAAATATCTTTAGCACTTGTGTATTTAGCACTTGTAAATACACAAGTTTTTCCAAGACAAACATTAAAAATATCCCACTGTGTAAAGCTATTTGTAACATTTGAGTATTATGAATGTTCTGAATGTTCCAAAGTCGTGTTCTTTGTTGCCCAGTTTTCAAAGATTCGGGTTTTCCAGCAATAATGCTCCCTTAAAGCAACTTTGCAGATAGGTTTAACTGGGTCTGTCTGGGATGGAGTTAATTTTCCTTACATCATCCCTGCCATACAGCTCTGTGTTTTGGGTTTGTGGATAAAACAGTGCTGGTAACACACCGATGTTTTGGCTCATGCTGAGTCGAATTCACACAGCACCAGAGGTTTCCTTTTTCATTGCCTCTTCCCCCCTTGTGTCTGCCCAAACCTGCAGGGCCTAGGCTGTGAGTCCTTAAGAAGCTGGGAGGGGACACAGCCAGGAGAGATGCTCCCAGCTGACAAAAAGGCTATTCTACATGGGATCATGCCCAGCAATAAAACCTCAGGAAAAACAAAAAGGAAGGCTAATCAGGGTTATGGGGTTTATCTTCCTGTTGTAAATTATTAAATACATTTAACAAATTTAATAAGGAAATAAATTTATTTTGTTTTGCTTGTGAACACAGCTTCGCTTCTTGTATTAAAATGTCTTCATCCTGACCCAAGTTTCCTTGCTTTTTTCCCAGTTCTTTCCACCATCCTCCTGGGAGGGAGGAGTGCAAGAGCAATGGCGTGGGGGCTCACCTGGTGGCCAACCCACCACAACTGCCCAAGTCTGGACTCAGTTGCTTCAGTAGTTCAGTGAGACAACACTAATTCATTCACATATGGTGTTCAGCTTTCAGATACTCAAGTTTATTACAGGCTTAACACAATAAAACATAGTATAAAAAAAGTAGATTGCAAAGTCTTCACATCATGGAATGCCAAGTTACAAAAATTGAAGTAATATCCTTGAAAATACATGAAAGCTAGAGGGAAAATATGGTGAGATAGAGGGAAAACTTGTGGGAGACAGGGAAGAAGGGGAGAAAAATACTAAGTCAGTTAAAAAAAAATATACGTGATCCAAGCTTTTAAAATAGAAAATTTAATATAATTCTTTGAGTCAAACAATCCTGTCTAGAAACATATTCATAATAAGGTTAGGCCCAGATTTTGAACCTCTGAATAACAACATCCCTTGCGCCCCAGTTAGCTTACGTTAACATAGCTTCTGTGTCCTACAAGTTATTCCAAAATACTCTTTGACTTCTAGAGTGTTTATCATGCTTTACTGGATAGATTGTTTGCTACACACTTACAAGAACATCTTAAGTTACAAAAATAGTTATCACTCATTAGTATTTCTATACATATCTCAAGCTATTATATGCACACTCTGTACATTGGATGTTAACAGCAGTTAAATTTGCTTCCTTAAAACAAACAAAAGAACTAAACCACAGTTAGTCAGACCCAAAATACTCAGGCACCATAATACACCGACATGTGTGGTACTAAACATCCCTGCCCATGCAAAGCAAAAGCAGTTTCAGTACCCAGGAAACACATGCATCCAAGCTGTAGGACCCTTGTGATGGCTGGAGGAGGAGAGTATGAGGATCAGGATGTTACTCCCACTGAACAGTCTCCCACTAGACTGAAGGGCTCTCCACACATGTGCAGATCCCATGCAGACTGGTTTTCCTGGCCAACAGGCCTGCCTACCCATGGAAAAGCAGATTCCCATGGCAAAAGCTGTAGGTAATAGAACTACCCCAAAACACCCCTCTGGTAATGATCACAATTCACCTAAAATAGGTAGGTGACTTCTGAAGTGGAACAGACATTGCGTTTTGCCACAGCCAAATCTTTGTTCTCAATATCTTTTGGCTGGGATCTATTCCTCCTTCCCTGGGCCAAAATAAAAAAAGGAGACTTTTTGGTGTGACCAGGGCCATCACTAACAAATATTTTGCTGGTTGCAAGTAGTACATTGCTGAAGTATATTGGTTGCACTTGCTTTATTTATCCTTCCCTTTCAGTAGAGGAAAGCCTGGAAGAATTACTAGGGTCGTGTCATTTTAGACAGGCAAGTGTAGTTCATAGTTGTTAGAGGTACCACTGCTGGTCTTTCTCATCTCCTAACTCTGCAAGTGCAATTCAGTTGAAGTGAAGCTTCCTGCAGCTGCCCAGCTCTGGAACAAGTCACCCATTTCAGAAGGTGCTGTCTGGGAACAGAGAGATGTCTTGCTATAGATTAGCGGGGTGGGAGGAAAAACAAAACCACAACTACCACCCCTGAAAAAAAAAAAGGAGGAAAAAAAGGGAAACCTTAAATGCTGAATAACACTATTTCTCTTTTAGCATTTTCTGAATATAGAAATTTCTTTTATACCACTCCAAGCACCATCCTTTCCATCATGAGGGCACAGAACTTCAGTCAGGTTAAAGACCCTCATGGTTTAATCCAAGCACTTAGAGGTTTGGTGTTTAAATGGCTCCCTTTATAAACCACATGCTAAAAAGCCCAGCATGTTTGCAATGCACTATTATGAAAAAAATATATTCACTACAGAAGTTCAAGGACAATTTGAAGCAAAGTCAACTAAAACATGTACTCAAATCTGCCAATATCAGGCTGCAAAATATAAACACTAAAATGTTAACATCCAGGTCATGCACACATCAGAAGTGCATTAAGAACTTCGAAGTTACACCACAGAGAAAAAATATACTTATGGTTTGTCTTCACAAAAGATTAGGAATTAAGCAACCATCCCTATGACATTGAGATGAGTAAAGAAATTATGAATTAACTTCTACAGGCTTTTTCCCACAACAGGAATTCAGAAATGTCAGGTATTTAATCTTTTAATAAGAGTGCTTCCCTTTAAATCTCTCCAGATAGATATTTGATGATTAGATCTTTGATGGTTTGGATCTTGGATGGTTATTTATTAATTCTTTTATTTTTAAAGCAGTATATTTGAAACGTACAATAACTTTGTTCTCCAATGGTCAAACAGTCAACATTCTTACGCATTTAAGTGTTCCATACTTCAGTTAAATTTTTGAAATTTTATAGTTATTTTAAACAGAATACATTAAGCTGATTTTCAATAGTGCCATTACAGTGCAACATCCGAACTATATTTCTTACTGTTTTCAGAAATAACTATCAGAGCTTCTATTTTAAAGTGCAACAGGTTTTGGCAAAGGAATTGCTACAAAATATTCAAGTGAAAAGAATTCTACCAGAAATAAACACACTGCAATATCAGCATAAAGGTATTTTGATAGTGTTTGAAGACCAGAGGAAGATATGAATGAAATATGAATCAGTTCAGAAAACACACATAAAAAAAACCCAGGAAAAAAACCCTTTAATTTTTCAAGTTGACTTTCTGGAGAGAATTCTATTTATTGATTTACAACTGAACTGAAAGGCTTGCCTTTTTTATTTTAAGATCAAGATAAAACGAATGTGAAAAACAAAAGGTCTGGCACTTGGATCTATACTGATACCTTGTTTACAAAGTTATACGTTAATAGTGAGTTCTCTTGCTCCCTTAGCATGTTTCCAAGCTTGGTCACATAAAGCAAGTACAAGTTAAATAGTCACAAGATATTTACCTGTTTATCTGATGAGACGCTATATTAAAATCAGTAGATAAATTGAAATACTTGCCTTATTTGGTTAGTAATATGCTGACAGTTGTGCAAGGGAATACTAGCACTTGGAACCTTAAGCTCTTTATTCTCCCATTATTGATTTAATTTGAGAATTCAGTGGGATTTTTAACCCAGTTTGTTTCTTAAAATGAGAACTTTTCATCATTCAGTAAGTCTATCACAAATTGATGTTTAGATATCCTAGATTAAAATAACCTGAGTTTTATCCTCTCTCTTCTGACACATACATGGAAAGAATGACTCCACTCAATTCTTTAATTTAAATCAGAGAATTCCACGCACTTCATGCAAGGTTAAGAATCACAGATTTAAGTACTGATTTTGCTCAGCATGTCCACCAAAATTTCTAAAGCAAGTTTGAGTCTCAACATTACATGAAGTGTAACTTACCCCTGCCATGCTTGTGCAAAAGCAGCATTCACTACTGTCACCAAATAATTTGATCTTTGTGCCATTCCAGTTATTTTAGATTACTTTTCACCCTTGGAAGAAAAATATGGTTTAAGTCAATATAACTATCTGCCTACAGCTGTTTTCTTCTTTTTCTATTTCAAAAACCACAAACAATAACCCCCAAACAAAAACAACACTCCAGTGTGTAAATATTTAAGTCTAGAGGAAAAGAGCCTCTGTCACTTGCTGGCAGACTTCAGTTCTGATATGATTTAAACCAGAATTCTCTCCTTACTTGCCATTAACAGCATATCTTTCTACAACAGGATATTATGAGTTTACCTCTCTGCTTCTAGCCAGCTCCCCGCTCTCCTGGTCTTTAGCTATCACCTGTATCTTTTCAGGCTATCAGACAAGCTTATAAATGCATTTTAGCAGCTACAGGACTGAACCTCATCTAAACTCTAGAAAGGTGAGTCAGTTGTGGCCTAGTTTCCCTCATGACTGTGAGCTGTAATAAAGAATATTCACTTTTAAGAGCCCAAAATCAAGAATAATCTTTGGAATATAACTACAATAAGTAAACTCAATTGACTACTGCAGTTACAGAAATTCTCTAAGGCAGAAGATGTAGTCTTAATCTTATCAACAACTATATGAAACTGATATATGACAACAGCTATATGACAGTTGAAGTTCCAAAGGTTTTCACAGACTCTAGAGTAAGTGCTCATAGCAATTCACATAGAGGAGGGGGGGGATTTAGGGGTTTATTATGGTTACTTAATGTCTCTTAAATCAGGGGTACATCACCCACGTTTTTCCCCACCCCCCCTTAGGTCCATCTAAGAGAGGACAGCAAATAAGAGAATAATGTAGACATCTATCTTTACTGAAGCACTGGGGCATCAGAGATTGTTAGTGGCAAGTTACTCAGAAGCCTTTTTCTATTGTGTTTTTTGCCAATTCATTTTGTGTAGCTTATTTCCAGGAGATAGGCAGCAAAAAAACCAGTAATACCTATTTAAAAAAATACATTTTTCATTACAATGCAACAGACTCAATAGTACCTTCTTACAGCTGCATCTCACCTAATTCAGAAATAAAACAATCCTGATCTAGCTAATTAAAAAATTAACCCTCAGAACAGTCAGCCTTCAGGAGTCAAACAACTTTGGACCCAAAGTTTATAATCATCATGATTGACAATTACCCCAGAAATTCACATGTGCAAACTGTGCTACAGAAACTATTTTGTGCTGTCAGTCAGTAATCTCACAATTACATAAGCATTTACTCCTACAGAAAGAATTGCTTCATCTTCCCTTAGATAACTTTGATGTGACCATTGAGTGCTCTGGAGGTACAGATAACTACTGCATTTGCTTACTGAGCCTGCGCGAGAAATGAACACAACCCAACACATTAACACTTAAAAGTTGCTTAGGTACATAATATATTAAAACAGTAAAAATCACAAAAATTTACACCAAGCTCTCCAAACCCATGCTCAAAGTTGCCCATCTAGTTCCAAATGCACAATCTTGATTTTAATACCTGCTCTACAAAGCTTACTAAAAAACAGACTAGTAAAGTCTTGTTTGTTTTCTAGAGTCTTGTGTTTTTCCTTGTCAGTAATTGTTGTGGGGGTTGTTTCTTTAAATCTAACAATATATATTCTCCTTATAACATCCCAGAGGTATCAAGAGGGAATATGAATGAAAATATGCCAGATTCTAGAAACTGCACATTCAACTATAGTGTCATCCAAGAGAGCTTTCCTGGCTTTCATAGACTGCATGTCACCTCTAACCATGGACAGCAAATAAAGCGTAGAATCCCAAAATAAAGAACTACTGTCACTGGGTTACTAACAAAAATTTCATACCCAGACATCTCAAAGTAATCTTGTTATTTAAGTAGTAACATTCCATTTTCAATAGTCAAATATCAAGAACTGAAGTATAAACTGAAAAATTATGAGTATTACTTTTTGAAAATGCTCATTAGTGACACATTTCACCTAAACACAGACATACACACAGTTACTCTAAGTTGATGTACCACACTGTAAGGAAAAGTCCCATTTCTGTTCAAGAATCTGATATTCCCCCTCTCCCCCCACCACACAACTTGACAGAAGTGCTTACAGTAACAGAAAGCAAACAGAAGGGGAAAACACAACATTTAACAAGTGCACCTATTTACAATTTGCACCTTTCCCTCCTTGCATCTAAAGTGTACAGATCTCCATGTTTGCTATGCTGTACATCACATGTACTCTCCACTCCATGGAACACCAGTTTTATCCAATGGATCCCTGCAAGCACCAACTGCAGTCATTCCACACCAACCAACAGGTGCTTTTACTGTGGAGGCTGAAGGACATTTAAATATTCTGACTGGCCCAGCTGGTAGGTCGTGTTTCCTCCACAGTCCACATACTGGTATCTCTCCTGGGATATTTGCTCAGGGTGGCCTAAGTACGAGGTTGTCACTGTCACTCTTAAAAAGACAGAAGAGAAGAGATTTTGAGTTTCCTATTCTAAAAATCACCGTGTTTATATTACTAGGGTTATTAAGGAAAAGGTTTTGGATCAAAATATGTTTTAAATAAATTTAAGAACATTACTGATTTACCACTATAGATTTTCTCCATGAAAGACATCTGGGTCCTTTTCCTAAAGATGCTAAAGTTGAGGTTTACTTGTAAAATTTACCACTACAAATAATATTTCTGGTTTGTGATAAGAAAGCAAATGACTAAACAAGCTACAAGCCATGCTATATCTACTCTAAAGATATGCCCTGGTCCCTCACCAATGAAAGACCCCACCATTCTGAAATTTATGTAATGTCACAAAAAAGCACTGTCGCAAAGCAGTCTCTGACAGAGTGCTAAAACCATGAACTCCTTCAAGATCAAAGATCTCAGCAAGTTTTGAACAGTGGTTGATACATAAAATAATTCTAAAGTTTTTGAGACATCAGTAGCTCCATGGCTACAGCCCCCCCGCTGCACAGTAGATACAGTAACAATGATTCTCAATCCAGTCTTTGCACCTCCAGAACCTGTCAAAAGACAGTTCACTTTCTGTAACTATAAAGCTGCTACACTAAAAAGCAACTTGACTTCATTTTATCTATGATACCAAGTCTCCAGGAATAAGTATTTGAGTACTATGTTAATGAGAATTACATGGCTTCTGAAGTTGTTTCTCACACATAGGAAGACTACCATACTTACTGCATCATCACTACTATGTTATGTACTTTGATAGATGGTAAAGTACAGAAGTCACTGCAAAAAAGAAGAACAATTGTTAGATTTACATCAAACTTTTCCAGAGTTATTATCTGAAATGCAAGACTTCTAGTTTCAACTGGAAATTCTGCTGTCTGTATACAGAGATTACAGAGCTACTGGCAATGGCAGCAGAATCATTCGCCAGTGACTGTATGCTCACCTGGACCCACTGTGACACACACAAGTCTTACTTTTACAAGTACTGCCTTCACAGGTGCTTGCTCCCATGTAATGCTGAGGACACAACACCAGTGTCCTCAGAAAGTGTTCATTCCACCTTCCAGAAGCTAACCAAGGTTAACCAGAGCCACTACATTTAAAGCCTGTCAGTATCACTTTGTCACTTATTTTTTGAACTCATCCACTTCTATATTATGCAAAATAACCTTTAACCAACATACACATATTCCAAAGTCAAGGTTATTGTTCTCTTGCAAGATAACCTTTTTGGACTTACGTTTTCTGACACATGCCTACATACCAGCCATGAAGAGCACCATGTAAGTGCATACTTTTAACCCCTGCTTCTTAAATCATTGCTCTTGGTCACAAATTTATCAGCTTTAGAATGAAAAGTAAGTGATCAGTGCAGTAAGATTGCTTGGCAGCCACCTACAATATTTTCATGCCTTTGTCATTCTTTCTCCCAGAACCAACAAAAATAAAATATAAAGAGTCAGTGAACTTAGCTTACCCAAATTGTAAGAAAATACAGCATTATCATGAGTTCTATGAAGGCTATTTATTAAGTTTATTTAATCCTCATGCATCCACAGTGCGAGCAGATTCACAAGATTCAGTGTTTACATAAAGCTAACTTACTTTTAAAAGGTGTACGTTAGAGGTTCAACGTTTCTGTTGATTTGAAGTTTGTGCCTCACTTAGCATTTCATACCTATTTCATTTTATTTCAACAACTGAAGGCAACAAGGTTTTCTCCCGTCCCAAAGAGGCTGGCATTCACTAGAAATGTATAAAGACCTGAAGCCTCAATAGTTAACTCTTTTGTTCAGTCTGGACTTCAGTGTAAGAGAACTAAAATTGGGGTTTGTGACCAAGATATAATGAGGTAACAGTCTGTTGGACAAATGAACTTTCAGGAGCTATGAATAAAACCACTCAAAGGGCAGGCTGTAAACCCTGCTTATTACTGTATACACAACATGTGAAGACAAGCCTCTAATTTGTATACCACTAAATACAAATTTCCTTCTACTGCAGAGAAAGTTGTGGGAAAGTTCTAGAGAACTTGTTAGGGGAACACACCTGCCCTTTCACCCCTAAAGCAGCAGTTCTAACTAGTGCCAAGTCCTAAAATACCACAAAAGTGATACCATTTAAAGGGTATACAGCCAGGTACAGCAAGCCACTATATGAAACTAATCAAGCAATTGTGATTTACCTATCTTGCAGTACTACTGAAATTAAAGAAAATGCCCTAGCATCTCTTCAAACAGATTCCTGCTAACTTTGGAAAAAGTTGTTTTTAACAGCACTGCAACTTTTAATAAGATTCATGTGATATTTAAAAGTGAATGAGTACTTACTACATGTAGCTCATTTCATCTTGTATGACTGTGGGCACCATATAATCAATCTAAAAAACAACCACAATAAAAAAGCAATGAAAACACCAGTAAGTAGATTTATATATGAAGATTAACACATGTTCAACTTTGAAAGCCTAAGCTACTCACCTGTTTCATATCCAGTGGACCAATGTTGGTGATGTTGTTTAACCGTGCTTTGCCAATAACTGTTTTTGAAAACTGAACTTGGGCTGTGATATTTGCCACTTCAACAGAGTAGTAGTTGTTATTCGTTATATTAAGTGTGTTCTGAAAAAACAAACACAAAACAGTAATGCCTATCCATTCTGTGTATCTCAGTGAGCAAGCATTTTGAGTCTTGTGCATGAGACAGTAATATAAGAAATTCTGCAAGCAGATTTTCCTGCCTGTGAGGACTGCAGAGAGGAGTAGGGTCACTATCACTTCTGAGTTTGTTTAGTGAATATACTGAGTAACACAAACTTCTGCGCAAACTTTCCTGGTAACAACCCTCCACTTCAAATATTGCATTTCTTCCTATCCTCAATTATTCCTTCCAGGAAATTTAGCTATCAAAGGACCTCTTTCTCCCATTGCAGCTTTGCTTTATTTAAAATGAAGTACTCTACCAAAAGTTTTTAGGCAAACCTGTATGAAGGTCACTACAAAGAAATCAAGAACTATCTGGGAAGAGCTCCTTTAAGTTTTAAGGTGGATAAGAAAGTATTTTTTCTTGACACCAATTTTGACAGAGGCATAATACCAAGGAAGTAGCAAATAGCATTCCTACATACACACACTACATTTCAGACATATTCCAAAAGTAACACGGAGAACTCCAAAGTTACTGTTCCTTTGAAAACAGAATACCCAGTGTCAGCTTGCAACTACATACATGTCTATTAGCTACAGCTGCTGGAACCAGCCACAGCAGGCTCAGTTACATTTTTCAAACTGGTCACCAACTCTAGTTCTTAAGGCACCAATTAAGCTTTTCAGCCAGACCACAGTTTCTACATACATTAAACTCCCAAAGCAGTATCTCCTGTTGCATTCATGCATTACAAACACCCAAAAAGTCAGACTTACTGTAATATTGAGATAGATTATCCGTCTTTCCTGTTCGTAAGTGACATAAACCGACTTCACACCAATGTACTGAACATCAATTGAGCGAGGAAACAAGAAAAATACAGCCAGTCCAGAGAGTAGTAAACACACAGTTACAGAAGCAGTCACATAGAGCTTTCTGAGGAAAAAAAAAGAGCACAATTCAGAGTCAAAAGTATATTAAAAAACAATGACATGCTATTTTAAATGATAAGGAGCAGGACTAGTGTATACAATTAATTCATTATTAGAAGCTAATTCCATTAGCTTCTAAAAAGGGAAAAAAACCCTATGCTGTACTTCACAGCTATGTCTTAAACAGCTGTTACTCTTGCATAATATTAGAAATCACATTTCAAACCATGTGGTTATCCCCACACTTGTAATTTGCAAAGGAAAATGGAAGAGGTAAATATTTATGTGCTTTGAAACAAATCCGTTTCCTCTTAACATTTATTTATAGTACAACTTCCATCATTTTGCGGAAGTCTCACAAAAAACACCCAGACCACAAAATAAAGCTTTTATGACAGAGAATCCCGACTTCCAGGGAAAGTGTTAGGACTTCAGCTAAGGAGCAGGAAATTCACAATCAAGCTAATAGAAAAGGGTCTGCGCTAATAGAAATGGGTGTGTGTGTGTGTGTGTGCATAGGAGGGTGGGGTGGTGGTAGTGGTGTGAGAGATAATAAAAAACTCTCCCCAAATAAAACGATCTACTTCAGCTCCAATTTTGTCAAGATTTGAACACTAAAGTAGTATGTTTCATATTTGCACTACCATTACGTCAGATATATTATCCAGAATAGTATTACGTGAAGCTAATATATTTCTTTTACCTGGCACTCATTTCTGTTTACTACAAAAATATCAAAACATTAAAAAAAAAGAAGTAAAAACCAAAACATGTCAGAAAGAAGCCCTGAGGATTGTCGTGAACCCCCTAAGTAGATCCTAGAAAAAAAATTAAATATGCTGCATCATAAATTGTTGATTTTTCTAGCTGCAAAAATCAGAATGTTACAAATTAATTTAAGGTAACTTATTTTGTAGTAGTGGCTCAAAGATGTTACTGATTAACTCAAACTCTAACAGTGAAGATGTGTCTGCTTAGATCAATTAGGATGTTTCAGAGATTAAGACATACATCATTACTGTAAACATGAATAGGTCACACAGTATTCCTTAGCTTTGTACTTAGCTAAGATGTACTGTGATGGAAGTATGCACACTTGTTAATAAATAACTCATCAAGAGTTAGAGGTTAAGGCTGATATTACCCACAAGCCCTGTCCTTCCAATAATGAATGCAAGAAAGCATTCCACTGATTTTTTTTCTTGATTCTTCTTATTGCTATCCCCTTTGAATTGTTGAATTTTAACTAGAAGATAATAATTAACTGTAGATTCAGGTATCACAAACAGCTATTGACTTACGTTCTTCTTGGCCTCAGTCTCTGATCACTGTATGGAATTAAGGCTACCAGCTGATTTTCCTGCCCTGGAAACAAAAACACCCTTTCAGAATTTAAACAAAGAATAAGTGTTGTTGCAGCTCTTTAAACAAAGAGTAACCCTTACAACTTAGTGGCACCAAGAATAAACACTGAAGATAAACATTTAAATTCCAGATAAGGACCCAGGTCGAATGCTACTGTAGCTATATCACTTTCTGAAATAAGAGCATGGCTTACACAACATCAAGATGAAAAAACACCAAGTCCACAAGGACCAAAACAGCAATAAATTCTGCCTCTGTGCTGCACACATGACCAGAGGCAGTATTGCCTCTGGCACCACTTCCTGGAGAAAAAGCGATGCAGAACAGCTCTGAGCTATTTATACCAGACCATATGAACTCATGGGACAAAACATTCAGAAGCTTAGGCAGCAAGAACTGATCCAGAAGGCATTCGGCATGTACTCTTCTGAAAAAGCAGAAGTCAGGTTTGGTTAAAAAACCCCAAAAAAATAAGCCCAAAAACAAGCCCTGAAACAACTAAAGCTAACAATACAGGTGATCTGGGCAACACAAGCAATGCACACACTGCATTCTGAAAATCAGGAGTATATAAAACCATATTTATCATGGTGCTGCTGAGCTGCAGCATCCTGGAAGTCAAAATAAGTATCTACTGGAATTTCTCCATGGAAGTTGTGTCGCTGGACAGCATTTTTATAGGGAGTATCTTAACAACAGAAGTAAAGAGCACATGCAGAGATGAGTAGTTGAAAACACGTGTACTACATCTGCCAGTAGAGATTTTGTTATTTGTTGTGGAATTGTATGAGAACAGAGGCCTCAAGGCCAAGTCAGACCTGCAACTTTTAAGCCAAACACAGAATTTGATCAAATAATCACTTAGCTAATCAAGCACTTGGCATTGATTCCATGCTGAATCACTAAGCTAAGCAAAACATGCTAACCAAGCATACAGTAGCATGCAAAACATCAACCTTCTAAAAAGCCTCTACCAATTTAAAACACATCTTCATCTCTACTTCAATGAAGCATCCTCCACCTTTAAAAAAATATCAGTCCTCCTTTCATACATCACACTAAAAACTAAAGCTGCCCAAGTAACAAAACAGAAGTTCATGGATTTATTATAGTTTAGCCATCATATCGTATTAATTATAACCTTACTAGTCATGCTGTCATTCTTAATTTTTCCCCTCTCCCCTCAAATGACCTCCAAACATGACATTTTTTCTTTAAAATACTAAGGAATGATTACAAACCTCTTAGCTCAAATAACTAATTTTAAGTTCTAAGTTTAACTACATTATTTCATTAGAATGTATAGACAATGTGCATGGCTTTATAGTTACTGCAAAATCTTTAATAAAATAATTAACATTTATTTAAGTACTACATCCAAGGATTCTACAGTGAAAATAAGAAGCTTCTGAACATAGAAATCCTGCTATTTCTGCACTCTGAGTAAAACATGCTATTGATATTAACAAGTATTTCAAGTTAACAGAACAAACTTTTTTACCCTTTCTGACTAAGGTAATTTTTAGTTTTATAGCTTTTCCAGGTGTGAAATTTGCTGAATTCAGAGGTACTCCATGAATACATTGTAATAGAAAGTCTAACAGCTAAAACACAAATCTCCTGTGGTATTTGCAACCATTGAAATATTTTATGCTCCCTGGTCCTTCTACAAAGGTGAGATGCAAGTGTTTGAGAACTGTGTCATAACCTAATCTCACTGAAGCACAACATGGCACAGACATCACTCAAGTTTCCTGAGCTGCTGCTCAAAATCAGTTCCAAGAGATTTTACACCCAATAATCTATTTTGGATAAGAGGTCTGGCAAAGGCAAACTCAAACATGAAATCGTGTCATCAGCTTTTCCCCAGTCAAAGGGAAAATCTCACAGCTGAAGCAAAATGCTGTGCCTTGGCCCACTTGGCTCTCCTTCTGCCCAGTTTCATATATCCTGTGCTCTCCTTTCACAGGTCTCTTCATAAATATTTAGGCAGCTTATCATTTAGGACAGAAGCATAACAAAGGAGCATGTTGTACCAAGAGGAAAAGGAAAGGATGAGGGCAAAGCAAACAAAACAGTTAGGTATGGAGACTAAGGCTGTGTACCCTGGTCCTTCCCAAGGCAGGCAAAGAGTCTATATATTTTCAACTCCAAGCTGGAATTATCCACCTAGCTAGCACCAGTGGAAAAAAAAGCAGGATAAAGGAAAAAAAGGGACACTGGCAGCAATGAGGGCAAAAAAATTAATTATAAATCAGGGAAGAGGGGTTGCAGCCTGGGTTTACTTTTCTATCTCTGTATTTGCAGCCATTTTTGCAGTTATGTATTGATTCAAATAGTTTAAAATAGGTAGTTGAAAAAGGTGCAATAAAATGTCATGAAACTAAGTGTTTACTAATTTAACTTGGATGAGCTATGGTTATGTGTGGATTCAAAGCTGAGGAGGAAGAAACAGTTGCATAGTACAAGACAAGAGGAGATCCAAGTTGTAACAGCCAGGTGTAACAGATGACCTGATTTGTTACACTCATCTAGTGTAACAAAATGCTTAGTTGCTGAAAAAGAAGTCGAAGATGAGAAAACTTCATCTTGACTTGAAAAAGCTATTTGTTATGAATTATTACAACTGCATATGGTTATGATGTAAATTTATAGAATAAAAAAAGAAAAATAATAAATGAGGAAACTTACCTCGTGGAATTCTTCCTGTTCCTTGGCAGGTTGGGCAGGTGACACTGTCCCTTCCTGTAAATTCCACATAGGGAAACTGCGACACATCTCCACATCTGCTGTCTTCATTGTGCACTTCTGAGTGAACTAAACCATTCCTCACGTTATCAGACACCGAGCTTCCATCATAGCCATCTTCCTTGCATGAATGCATAGGCAGGTGAGAAAGTGATTTTCCCATGTCTAAAAAAAAGTCAGAAGGATGTTTTCAGGGAGAATGATTCAAACATGGCTTGCATTTATTCCTCTGCACCAGGTAACTGTCAGTGTGTGGCCACAGTCTGACAAGACTCAGTTCTCCTTTGCTCAGATCCCTTAAGACCTGCAAAGCCTGCTCAAGCTGGAGTCAATCTCAAACTGTAAAGAACCTGAATTAACTGGGAGCTTTGTTCAGATTCTCCAGTATGCACAGGTTAAAAGCAGATCAATGAGAGACACTGTTAAAGTTAGAACAGTACAACTGCAGACAAAAGGTGCAACAGCTTTTCAAAGGATTGTTAATGTACAGGCTTTAACACACCACACTAATCCTTGTATTATTAAAAAAAAAAAAATCATCAACACTGGGCCATAGAAAGCAATTTTGAGTAAATTCTACACACATGACAGACCAAATTTTAGTCAATTTTTTAGCCTGGACTTGTTTTGAGAACCTAGAATTGGCTGTTAGTTTCCAAGCTAGACATATAGATCACATGGTATTCAAACTGTTGATTCCCTTTAATTCAAAAGAGGACTAGTTCACAGGGAAGTAAAGTGGAAATTGGGAGTTACTTAAACATAGCAGCTGCCAATATATAGCATTTATAAAGACTTGTTTAAAAAAGAGTATCACTCACGAAAACATTTTTGTTACCTGTGTGTATTTTAATTTTTCCTCATTACAGCAGCTTTTCAGCCATGACACTGAAAATACCTTGAAACACAGAACATTTGAAATTAAAGTCTGTAAAGAAGTGCAGTAAGCGGAAATGCCCCAGTTTGAAACATGTGGGGAAAAAACCTCAAAGAGAAAAAAAAATAAACCTCTACAGCAATGGCACTTAGTTGTTCAGGTGACCTACATAACCCATTTTAGTTACTTAACACACAGAGACAGCAGCCACTCAATTAATCAGTATTTTGAGGAATAAAATGGATTAAAATTGATTGACTAATCAACTGATCAATCAACTGATCAATTGATTAAAAAAGAATATGCAAAACTTCACTGGGTTTTTTTTGTCCATTAAGAGGTATTTTTAGAATGGCAGTTAGGAATTATCATGCTGGTTCACTAAAAGGAAGCCCTGAGAGGAAAATTAAAAGAGAAAAATAAGTCAGAAAATTTTAAACCAACAACTCAAGACAGAACAGAAATATCTCAATACTGATGACAGTGCAAACACAACATGAATTCATTACATTGCCACAAATGCTAGGTGAACGTGGGAGAAGGAAAGTAAGTCAACAAATGCCAACTAGTCCCAGTTACTGCTCTAGCAAATATGCAGGATTGTTTTGTTCACTTATGTCATTAAACCCTTAGAAGCAGGAAAGCTATTTACCCTTCTGCTGCTACAGAACTTTTAAAACATTCTAAGTTTGGGAGCTATTCAATAATGGAAATTGTTCAACTGAAAATTAAAACTACTGAGCTATTTAAAAAAAAAGTTCTGAAAAAGCTGCTGACACTGTTGACAATTATTTCACATGGGGTTTTTGTTTACTTTTCTCCTTGCAGCTGACCTACAGCCTTCAAGCTAAGGAACTTGAGTCTTGCAGCTTAGGCAATAGCTGTCACAATTACAGATCTGAAAGCTCAGGGATCATGCTGTTCTGCCACCACTTCATCCAACACCCACTGACAACTGAAGTGCACCTTCTAGTTTTAGCTTCTTCCAGAAGGGAAAGTTCACACACTGCCTGATCACACTGTGACATGAACCAAAGTGCAGCAGGCAAGGATGCCTGGGAACTCCTTTCAAGAGCACATCCTTTATTTGAATTAAAGTACTAAAGCAGGTGCATCCTCCAATACCAAGTGTACCTGAGCTTCAATAATTGAATTTAATGGTGCCAGAGACCAGGGAGAAACGTCTCAGTTCACAAAGAGGAAAACACAGAACCATCTTCAAGCAGAACTGGATTCACCAATATGATTTTTCCCCTAGCCAAGTCTGAACCTTATTACAGCTGACCACAAATCAAAAACATGTTGATTTTTTATCCAGCACTTAGAGGCTAAACAGTAGTGACTCTGACAATATAACATCTCTCTATGTCACAGCTTCCATGCTGTCACTAAAGCCAAGAACAGCTCTGCTTTGGTGCAGTCTCCCTTGCAACTGATGGTTCCCCTTGAACCTAGCTGCGGTTTCCGAGAATTCACAGTTAGTTAAAATGGGTTCAGAAAATTAAAGATGCGACAAGTGGCTTTTGTTTACGACCGCACCCTTCAACTTGCTAAGCACTGCAGCACAATGGTACATGGACAAAACACAGTGTCACAAAACGGACTGAACCACCACATCCTGAGCTACATGCAAGACTAGAGAAAACAACTCTGTTTATAAACTCAGTGAAACTTTATAGAGTCTGTTATAAATGAGCACAACTAAACTAAATTGTTATACTTCTCCAGCAAGTTAAGCTGATGTTCTTACCCTTTATATACAAACGTATAAACCTGAGATTACAAACCTACTTCTTTTAAATACAGCAATAGATTTCGAATCGCAACCACCCCGCCTACCCCGTCAGCTGCACCTTAACCGCATCACAAGCTCCTGCGAAGCAGAGCAGGGCAAGGCAGCGACTGAGCAGCCACAGACTTGTCCGGCTCGGGGGGCACGACCAGCGCTGCCCTTCCCACGTTACACACCCACGTCTCGGACACTGCCTGAGCGGTAAGCCGGGCGCTGCCAGATTAAAGGAGTCAAAAATCCCGGGGTTTAGAGATTTTCTCAGCGCTAGCTGCTCTCACAAACATGGCGAAGTTTACAGCCGGCAGGCTTGGACCACGGCCCGGCGAGCTCGGCTGCCCGGCCAGCCCCGGTGCCCGCTCGGCCTGGGGTGGTCTGGGCGCAGGAGCCGTCCCGGGGCAGGGGCAAGGCAGGACAAGGGGCAAGGCCAGGCCGGGCCGGGCCAGGCCAGCTCAGGCCCCGGATCGGCGTGTGCGCAGCCGCGGGGCGGAGCCGGGCCCAGCCCACCCGGCCGCGGGCGGAGCCGGCTGCGCGCCGCGCTCCTGGCAGCTCCGGCTGTGCCGGGGGCCGGGGGGCCCAAGGCTTGGGAATGGCATACAAAGCACCGTCCCGAGGGGCACGGGGGGATCCCGTATCCGGGAGTGGAATTAAGGGTCGGGGAAAGGGGAATAGGGAGGTCGCGCATCTTGCTTTTGCGGCATAGGGTCTAAAGGGGACAGAGCGGGATCCCATCCGGCGTTTCCCTGTCAGCCGCGGTTCAGAATCCTATTAACAGAATCATCTGCATTGGAAACGACCTCTAAGGTTGTCGCGTCTAACCTACGACCAAACCACCGTGTGAACTAGACCACGGCACCAAGGGTCACATCCAGCCTTTCCCTAAGAGACAGTAACTCCACCACCTTCCAGGGCAGTCCATTCCAATACCTAATCTCCCGTTCTGTGAAGAAATTCTTCGCAAAGTCCAACCAAACCCCCCGGTCAGGTTAAACCCGTGTCCTCTCCTATTGCTAGTTGGCCGCGCTGCCCGCAGCTATGAGCGCCCTCTCCTTCTGTCCTCTCCTTCTGTCCTCTCCTTCTGTCCTCAGCTTCGTGGCACCTTGTGAGGAGGCACCATCGCTATTTTCTGTGTCCTCTGGTAGCTCTGGTGGAAGCTCCTCGCCCCCTTGTGCTCCGGGAGAAAGGAGATCCTCGTGAGAGCAAAGCGGTAGCAGGTCAGAAAAAGAGGCGCCACAAACAAGTGCAGTGCGTTTTCATCGCTCACAACACATGATACAATGTTGCTTGTACAGCGGATGTTTATCCAGGGCGTGGGCGTGATGTGTTCTCCCAATAATTTGCCAGAGCAAGATGAAGTGCGTTGGAAATAAGTTGTGATGGCTTCTCTCCCTGGGTCTGCCTCTTGTTCACGAAAACCATTACCTGCTGTCTTTGGAAATGCTCTCTGTGGGGGTGTGTGAGCACCAAAGGGATGAGATCTGTGTAGAGGGGACACAGCTCAGAAGGAAAGCAGGAAAAAGCTCTGCCTGGTTTGGGAACCTCAACCCAGCTGCAGGAATGAATCAGGCTGGGGGTAATTCTGTGATTCACACCACATATTGCAGTGCAAGGACAAGCACAGGGTCAGGGTTTGAGGGAGAGAATGAGGAAGAGAGGTTCTTATGACTACTTGGAGTGATCACGAGGCTGGGCAGGGTGCCAGGCTGCTCCAGAGGCTGGGAGGAGACAGGCTGCCTCCAGCAGCCACCCAGAGCAGGTGCAGCTCTGAGGCCATCTGCAGTATAGCCATGCCTGTAGTGTGCACAGCACCTGGTGGTGGGACCAGCATACGATCAGCACAGAAAAGAACTTTTTCCCAACCAAGCATGTGCTTAGAGAAAAAAAAATAAAAAAATCTTCATTTATTTTTAACCAGGCTAATGCCAGTCCAATTTATTCTCCTTATCCTTGGAATTTCTTGTTGTTTTCTGGGAATTTTAGAAGTCTTGTCTTGCAGCAGTCTCCAGCTTTCATTATCCAGTTCAAGTAATTGTGAGTCTTGCATCACAGCTGGCTTGGTTCTACTTATCTAGCCAGGCACGGTCAAGCTCCTGGAAGTATTGGCAAAAGCTGGCACATTCCATGTCCTTCTAGTAGATCTCCACCTGAATCTTTGGCTCATCACTGTTCAAGATTCCTGAGATACCCATATAAAGCTCTTTGTACAGCAAGATTGACCACGGTATTTTGTGAGTTCTTAACTACAAAATGGTACATGTCAGATACCTTGAACAGGTGCCTGGCATGTTCAGGATCAATATGGAATGTGTACCTCACTTTAAAACATCAGCAAATCCCAAATTTGGAAGGCTCAGGTCTAACTAGTAATTTCACTGGCTATTAGCTTTTGGATCTGGCTCAACTGTACATTGATCCAGAGAGCACAAAATGCACTGTGAAAAATACTCATAGCTTTCAGCTGTACAAACAGAAAGTAAGAGCACCAAGCCTTTGCTTTTCACATTGTTTTAAATAATAGTGGCAGCCAATCACATTGACCCGAAGCATCATACAACAGGGAATGTGCCAGAAAAGACTGAGAAAAAAGGTTTTTGGAGTAGCTTTGAAAGATCCCACTCAGGTCTTGCAATTAAATTCTCTCAATTTTTCAAGAGAAATGTTACTGGTAAATTGTAATTAGCATGGAGATTTTTTTATCAAATCAGAATTTTGCACCTTAAACTGCAGTAGTTTTTATCCAATGCTTCCAACCCTCAAACTAACTTCTAAGGCCCTATGCAGGCAAGAATATTATAAGACTGCTGGACAGAGTTTTTTCCCCTGTCATGATAAAAGCAGTAGTTGAAATCAGTAAGGGCTTTAGAGATAGTTCTCCATTACTGTAGTAAATAGACATGTTTCTGGTTAAAGACTTACTACTTAGCAGAGCTCTTTCTCCACAGCTTTGACACAAACAGAATGGGTTGGGGTTTTTCTCTCTTTACAGCTGTCATGATGAAAGGGAACATATCTCTGACTATCTGTTTGCTTTGTGTTATTTTCACTTTGAAAGTACATGTTAAAGATAGCATTGTAGAAAGAGAAATGGAAACAGTGTAAGGATCAACTCGGCCATAAATCCTTAAGGTAATGTTAAATATAATTTATTTGGTATAAGCTAAAATAATTTAAGGAAAACATAATAAACATATAAAGGTAAAGTGTTACACTGACTGTATAGTCTTGGGAATAAAAAAAAAAACAAAATATGTGGTAAGAAGATGTAAAACTTAGAAGCAGTGCTTCAAGAAAAACATAATAAACAATAATATAAAGGTAAAGTGTTACACTGACTGCATCGTTTTGGGAATAAAAAAATCAAAATATGTGGTAAGAAGATGTAAAACTTAGAAGCAGTGCTTAAATATGTACTTAAAATGTTACTGAAATGAGACCGAGGTTGGGATAATCAAGAGAGGGTTCCTGTGATTATGAAAGGGTATTTTTCAGTAAAGAGACACAGAATGCACAACATCCAATACTGCATGAACTGAAAAATTATATCTAGATGAGGATTACCTGCTTAAACAGACACAGAAATTAATCAGTTCAAAGATAGATGGTAGAGAGGTGGTATGCAATACTAGTGCTAGTAGGAGGGGTATGAAACAGAAATACTCAGATGGCAGAAGGAGAGAAGCTGAAATCATCACCTTTGGACTGAGTTATGGGACAGCTGCAAGTAATATGAGCTCTTAGTTCTCATAGATCACTAAAGGAGTGCAGTTTAGACTTCTGATAGTACATCAGTAAAGAAATCCAAGCAATGAATCTGCTTTCAAGTTGAGTTTTGTGGCTGGGATATGATAAGTGAGTCAAGGCCTTGAAAGGTCTGGAGTTAGCAATCCATAAAGGAGCTGATTGCCACAGTGTGCAGCCTCCCAGGTCCTATGAGCAAGAGACTTAGACCCTGGAAGTACCAGTGAAGAATTATATTTACTTCTAATTTTCTCCTAAGATGAATAGCAATCTACTGACCTTGGTTATCTGCAAAAACTTCAGGCTATCCACATTTATTTCATCCTTTAAGAATATAAGCTACTAATTCTGTGAATATTGAAGGTAATGAAGCCTGTTTTTCTGCAGAGTTTCTTCCTGGTTGGCTATTATTTACCTGAATTATATTTTCTGTTATGACTGCATATGCCTAACATCTTCTACTGCAGAGCATTTTGACAGCAAAGAGCAGGCTGCCATGCTCAGAAGTGGAAATTTGTATAAATTTGCTGACTGGATAGGAAGTTATTTAATGTTGGCTCCTAAATGTTCAGTTCCTTGTGTCTCCTGTCTGGTTATCTATTTCTATGAAATTTCAGTGAACGATATTATCTCTCAAACTCCACTGAACCTGGATAATGCTTTCAAGGTTATTGAACTTGGGACAGAGAGAGGCAGAGGTTGCATAAACCTTGTTTTCATATAGCCTACCAGGCTATAATCAGACAGCATCCTGTCTGAATGCTGAGCTGGGAACAGAACCCTTTTTTATCTGCAAGCTATCTCCAAGTCCAGAAAAACAAGCAAACAAACCACAACAAAACAAACAAAAGAATATGAAAACTGTAATCCCCATCTCATCTAAAGTATGGGGGATTGTGTCGGTTTGTCTGTTGATAGTGGTAGAGAAGATTCTTATGAGTTCCTGTAATTACTTTAGGTTCATCATTACTTCACTGGGAGTTTTGTATATAAAGAAAAGCAGGCTTTGCAGAGCTATTACAGTTGTTTGTGTGGATTGGGTTCCTCCTCCACCTTAAGTAGTCCAGGGAATACTTATGCTGCCATGTTGTAAAAATCATGTTTTTCTTTAAATTTCTCTCTAGTTAATTTGGACACCTGAAAGAAAATGTTCATTCCCTATATTACAGTTTTCTTAGTAAGAA